TCTCTGTTTTCGGTGGTGTTAGATACACGTGCATCCCATAAACTTGTGTATCAAATGATTAGTATTGGGTGACTGTATTACCTGATTACTCTGCTGTCGTTGATATTATCTTATTTGGAGCAGTGAAGAATTTGTCCCATGCAGAAGTACATCTTGTAGATGGGAGTTCTCATAGCACTAGTTTCATTTTGCAGCTAAAGAAGTTGTTTAGGGTTACAGTGAACCTTTCCTGACTCGTCTGTTTTGACTGACTGTTTGGCCACAGATAAGGATTTTAGGTAGCTGAATGATGGTGGTGTGTATCTGGCCTGAGAAATGGCCTCAGAGATTTTTCTTCCAGTGACGTAAAAAGCATAGCACAGGAAAATGTAAAAGAGTAGGAGGTGTTCATTAACTTTATATTGGAAGATTTCTTTCTTCATCCCCTCTTTCAGAAGAAAGTGTCTGCTGTGCTTTCTCTCTGTGATTAGTTTTTTATTAGGACCAAAATTGATTCTGTTACATTATTTTCTATGCCAGATATGCAGTAATGAAATAGTTCAAGAGTGTAACACAAGATGGTAAGAAAGCCATGTGAAATGTTCTTCATTTTTTTTATTCCATCTGCTGCTACTATGTGGTAGATATCTTGTGGTTTTGAAATAGCACTTCAGTTTTCTTAATTTTGTGGTTTTGGAAGTATTGGATCAGGTATTAAAATGTCATGCCTATTAGAAAAGTGCTCTAGGAAATTTTGTGGTGGGCCTCCAAAAAAGTTAGTAGGATAATGGAAAAGCAAGATTCTTCCTATAATCTTAATTCTGATGAAAGAAAAATCAGTAGCATATAGCTACTTTTTTCCTTCTTGTCTCTTTCAGTTTTTATTAATGAGAGCAGTCTTAAGCACTGAAAGACTCTGGAAACATACAAGCCATGTTCGAGAGTGTTTGTAATCTTCAAATAATATCAGCTCAATGAAGTAAAAATCAAGTAATCCTGAAGAGAGAGAGCTTTCAATTCGAAACTAGACATTTGCTTACCCCTGCCTGTATGGAAGGGAAAAACCTGCTGCTTGGATGAAGTAGCCTTTGGCAGGATTTGGCCAGATGATGCTTATTCCTGTGACTATAGAAGAAGTAATGTCTTTTAAGTTTCATGATGCTTTTTCTATTCTCTCCTGTTTTCAATGAAATTTACGCATTTCATGCTTTTTGTGCTGTGAGATGTTCCAGAATGCACACTGGCTCTCTTTCCAGCCGAGCCTGCAGGCAAGGCAGACGGAAGCAATATGCTCTAAGAAGTGTGAATTTTCTCATATGTTTCAGTGAGGGTTAATGGGAAGGCTAATTAGGACACTTGAAGCCAAAATTACTGTGTTTCACTTTGAGAGAAATTATTGGAGACATCCATCAGCTGTAGTTGGATATAAGTGGCATTCCAAGTTTAAATCTGCTGAAGAGTTTAGAACTGGAAGTGAGGAACAGAAGTTTAAAACTGACTCAAAATTAATTAATTTTTAAGTTAATATAGAGTAGAAGAAGGAAAAATAAAAATTTACCACATATTAATATATCTGTAATCTAGTAAATGAAGATCATATACTTCTAATTATTATTGGGTTTAATTTGAGTTTGAAGACTGTGTATAGGTAACATTAAGTCAGTATTTTTGATTGAAAATAATGTGTTAAATACTACTATGTATTTTTTTATTATTTTAACTTTTACAGATACATGTATACAGGATTTCTTACCTTTCTCTTGCAGATGTGATATTTCTACTCCTAGAAATCTGCATAGCCTACCACTTTGTTCTTCTTGAATCCTAATATACTTCAGTTTTCTTTGGATATAAAAAAGCCTAGGACTGCTGCCTTTGCTGGACTGACTTTGTGCTGTGTCAGACTCAGCTTCTGGGTAAGGCACAAGACAAAAGTTAGTTTTCTTTGAGTGTTACAAAGGCAGCAACCTTTAGCTAAGGAGTATGTACAAGAAGAGATGGATTCTTTTCTACTGTGCGATTTCCATCCCTACTTTGCCTGGGAGAGTAGGAGGAGATCAGGAGTCTCTTCCTATTCTCCTGCTGTTTGTTTCCCAAAAGCAGGACTCTAACCCTGCACTTTTTGTCTCATAATACATAGGTTTGAGACTCCAACTCCATCAGGTCATAGACCTCTATTGCCTTCTTGTCACTGCTTTGACGTCCTCAGATGTCTGTTTCATTGCAGAGCAGAACTGAAAGCTGCAGCCCCTGCTCGACAGTGTAACAAGATGTACCCACTTTGTGGTGGCTTTTTATGCAAGTGTGTAATGAGCTATGAGGGAAGACAGGCGGACAGAGCTGAGAGAAGCTGATACTGTACCTCACACAGGCAAATTGGTTACATGTTGTGAGCATATCACAATTTTGGAAACCAATAGTGTTGCACTATCACAGTCTCCACTGTTGAAATATCTGTGGGCACTGATGTTTGGTTAGAAGACTGCGATTCCTTCTACTTGAAATGGCTTGTGTGCTTTCTGTCTTCCTCTTTAACATGCCCCACCTCTTGACCAATATCAAGACAGAGAGAACGGACAAGAAAAATGTTTCTCTCTGCAGTATAGAATTTTTAAGGAAGAAGGACAGGGAGGAGGAAAGGTCTTTCATTTTGCATGTAAAAAATATTACCCCACAAAAATTAGTAGCATGATTAATCAGGTAACAAGCTGATAGTATTCTACTCTCCATTTAACTTTATCATAGAATTTCCTGAGTTGGAAGGGACCCACAAGGATCCCTTGGGATCCAGCTACTGGCCCTGTACAGGACAGCCTGTGTGTGTATTCTCTGGCCATCATCAGCTCTTAGACCATTGGTCCAGTTGATCCAGCTCTGACAGTTTTGTCAAGTCTTAAGGAGAGCAATGTTTTGTAACTACTGTGGAATTCAATGGCTGGGTAGAGGGAAGAAATAGTATGGTGTGAGCTTATGCTTTGAAATGGGAGGGTACATGGTGGGGCAGTGACTCATTAAGAGGCAGGAAGGCTTCAACAAGATTTTCTGCCTTCTTAGGAGCCTTGGCATTAACTATGTAATAAACAGGTAACAATCAAGGAACCGTTTATTGTTTTGTGGACTATAATGCATTTTTGTCATGAAGTGTGACTATAGGACTGTATTATTTTGTGTTGTGCTGCAAGGAGTGGGTAAATCTGGTCCTATATAGGGAGGAGTATTCAAGTTGAGGTAAGGATATCTTTATTTGAATACATAGAAAAAGAAGTGCTGCCATTTTTAAAAAGTTGTTGCACCATTGGAAGCTCTCTTATTTTTCCTATTTGTGGTGTGGTATTTTGAGTCAAATATGTGCTTTGAAAGTGTGCTCAGTTAATAATCTGTTCTGGCTTTTACCAAATCACTTTAACCTAGTGTAGCCATCGAACTGGGTATGCCAGTTGTACTTGCTGAACAATTATTTTTCCTTTTAAGTTGTCCCACTATGAATTCTTAGACCAGCTGACAAATCTCAAAAAAGTAGGTTCTCTCTGGGTTAGGATGAGAGAAACAAGAAAAGTGTATCCACCTTGCTTTTGGCAAAAAGGACACCAAAAGAATCTTTTAATTAGAGCAACTTCATTCTGTCTATCTCCCATTAACCTAACGAGCAATATGAGCTTGCTAAGGTGCAGCCATGGAACTTGGTGAGAGCCGATCCTCTAATGAGAGGATTAGGTGTTTATTTCTGTTGTCCACAGACTGAAGCTAAGCACATGTTGCTGGGTATGTGAGAGCTCTCAGCTAGTCCCCAGTAACCTCTCCTTTACCTCTGTCTTTTGCTTTCCTGTCCCCTCCTGAATAACACCTCACTGATTTCTCCATTCTTGATATTTTGGCTTGGGAAAGATTTTAAAAATTAAGATACAGTTTCGGTGTGGTGGTGTATTTGGGTGTGTAAATACACACACACACACGCTCTCTCCGCCTCCCCCCGCACCTGTTGAGATGGGGGAGAGAATTGGAAGTATGAAAGTAAAAAAACTCATGCGTTGAGATAAAAACAGTTTAATAATTGAAAGGAATAAAAAATTGTAAGGAAAATGACAAAGAGAGAGAAATAAGAACCAGGAAAGCTGCAAGTGAAAATGCTCACCACCACACGAGTGTTGCCTGACCAGCAGCCCCCCAAACCAACCTTCCCTCTAGTTTTATTGCTGGGCATGATGCTATATGGTATGGAATATCCCTTTGGTCAGTTGGGATCAGCTGTCCCAGCTGTGTCCCCTCCCAGCTCCTTGTGCACCCTCAGCCTCCTCACTGGTGGGGTGGGATGAGAAGCAGAAAAGGCCTTCACTCTGTGTAAGCACTGCTCAGCAGGAACTAAAACATCCCCAAGTTACCAACAGTGTTTACAGCACAAATCCAAAATGCAGCCCCATACCATCTACTATGAAGGAAATTAACTCCACTCCAGCCACAAAAAGCATACTTTGAAGTCAGTGAGATCCAAAAGGAATGAATAGCTCTGTCCAAGTGACCGTTGTTAAACTGATTCCTCTCCAGCACTGCCATTTTACAAACTGCATTTTGTGAATTGTTTTGCCTTTAAAAAATGGGAAGAGGGGCAATGGAAGAGGAACCAGTCTTGGACTCTGGAATTGTGATACCTCTGCCATTTGTGCTGTAGAAGCTACTTTGTATTATCTGGTCTGAGGGAGAAATCCAGCCTGCCCCCTTAAAGCTGGGGAAGGAACAATGCTTCCTTTGGCTCACAGCCTGAGAATTCTATCTGGAGCTGCTGTTTCCACTGCGTAGTACACTTTTCTTTTTGTAATGATGGCAACTGAGCACAACACATTTGAAAATCTCCCAATTTAATTAGTTTCCATTCTCATAATCTTGAATGGTTTAAAAGACCCTGTTTTGTCAAGCAACCTCTTCTATTTTTGCATTTCACCTTGAATTTGATGATTTGTCTTGTGTGCACTGTTGTTAGTGAGTTCTGTATTGTACTTATTTACATGATAAATCTCTCTTCACAGATCATTCAACTTCAAGTGGTACATCCTCATTTAAGCCCAGCCGATCACTGGTATCCATTCCCACTGCCCATGTGATGCTGTCTAATGCCAGCTCTTCACTTTCCAAACACAGGGAAGCTTTCAAGTCTGATGGCTCAAAGTGGAGCACAAGCTTTGTACGGTCAGGAGGAGGCAGAAATCAGGGTTCACTGGACAACTCTCTTGACATGAAAGATGCAAGACCTGTGAGAAAATGGTCCTCCTTGTCTAAGCTCAGCTCACCAAATACCTTCAGCCAAGATGGTAGTAGTCATTCAGTGGAATACAGGGCTGGTACAGACAAAGCCGTGTCACCACAATTAAGGACAAATGGGCCAAGTTGTTTGCATGACAGCATGGAATTGCTAAAAATTGAGGACAAAGAAATGGGGAAAAAACGATCTTCTCTACTGGACTGCAAATATAAATTTGAAACGTGCAGCAAAGATGAGTTTGTTTCAGATTCCCCAAGTAGGAGACATGCCTTAGACTTGACCTACAGTGCCTTACCTGAAAGCAAACCTACGGCAGCCAGTTGTGAGGCTTTCGGACAGAGATATGCAACACTGGGACAGCAGGCTGTGAGTGGAGCTCCCATACAGCCAGCAGTGAGGACTCAAATGTGGCTTAAGGAGCAGCTCCGTGCAAATCCCCTGGACTGCAGGCCTGCCGAGGAGCCCTACGGTGTAGCTGCGTGGCATGTGCAGCAGCCTGAAGATTTTAGAATAGGAGGTGAACAGCCTGTGCAGGTAAGGCTAAAACTTGGTGTTTGCTGCCATCATGCGGCATCGTGTGTTATACCTGGCAGTTTGTAATGAAACAGAAAGGGGAACAGGTCCCCTTAATCAGGTAATGATGGTTTTAAACTTTGACTGGGGATGTTGCTGCTTGTTTCTCATTACTACCTGAGTGCCAACAGTTTTTTTGTTGTTTTGTTTGGTTTTTTTTTCCTGCTGTCTGCTTACAGTTTACTCTGATTCATTGAACCTGTCTGCATGGGACCAGCATTTCTTCACATGAAGCTGCGCACAGCAAGAGCTTCATTAAATAACCTTTTCAGTAGTTTTAGAGAGAGTCTTTGATGACAGTGTAGTGGGGGAAATGTGAATGTATTTTGATCTGAATGGGCTTAAAAAGAGGCTGCATTTATGCATTCAGCAAAATAAGAATTACTCCTGCGTACTGCAAGGATGAATGGATATTTCGTATAACTACACCTAGCACTTAAAAACTGAATTGTTTGATATTACTGCTTATCTCTTAACTAATAAAAATCAACACTAGTCAATGAATCTGGTTGATTTAATAAAATAATATGTGAGTTTTATCTGTCATACTTAAAATATTTTCATATAGAGAACATCAAGCACACAGTTTTAAGAGACAGGTAACCCTTTGTAGCATGGCAATTCAATTTTTGTTAACCCTTTGTAGCGTGCCGATTCAATTTTTTTTTCCAACTTTTCCCCTAATGGGAAAATACGGTTTGTGAAAGAAGGCAGTATTTAAAATCTACATATTCCTGTTTACCTGCGTAGGTGAACTTGGCTTGGCTTGCCAAAAAGATCCCAAGCAATTTACAATATGTAAATTTCTCTGAAAGGCATTTTAGGGTTAGACTAGGATATTATCTGAGGAGGGATAATCCAGCTGTATGTGCAAATTACCTGTATTTCTCCAGCCTGAAGTACATGAAATAATTTACAAAGAGTTGTGCTCAAATTTTGTTGTTTCTTCTGTTGTATATTGAAGGAAAGACTGACAGGTTTAGAGGTTCTTGGGATCCAATTTTGCTCTTAATGGTGATCTTAATGTTTTGGGGTTTTTTTTGGTGACGTGGTGGGTTTTTGTTGTATTGGGTGTTTATTGGGGTTTTTTAAATAAAAAAAAATGAAACCAATAAATATGGCCAAACGAACAGTAATCTTTAAGGGTCTCCCTAAAAACCAGACATTGTTACAGGTAGCCAACCTTTACCTTTATTGCTACAGAAACCCTCATCTTTCTCTTAAGGTTTTTGAAGACTTTGATGTTGAGAAATTCCCCAGGTAGGGAGCAGAGGCTGATGAGGTCCTGTCAGAGCCAAAGTGACAGAAACTGGGTCACTGCTGAGGCTGGATCCGGGGCACTGCCAGCTGGGCAGTTGGCAACTGCTGGTGGCATTGAGGAACACATGAGGGGTTTGGGAAGTGGAAGTGACAACAGGGTACCACTAAGGAGTTCAGTCTGTCCATTCATTCAAGTCTTCCCAAACACCTGAAACACATGTAGCTGGCTGCAGCCGTCAGAGGTGCTGTCTGTGAGGTTTGTGAGCAGATTACTGTGCCTGGTGGTTCTCCTCTTGGATTTGAATATATAGAATCATGGAATGTTAAGGGTTGGAAGGGACCTTTAGAGATCATCTAGTCCCACCACCCCCTGCCATGGGCAGGGATACCTCCCAGTAGACCAAGTTGCTCAAGGCCTTATCCAACCTGGCCTTGAACACTGCCAGGAGTGGGGCATCCACAGCCTCCCTGAGCAACCTGTTCCTGTGTCTCACCACCCTCACAGTAAAGATTTTCTTCTGAATATCCAGACTAAATTTCCCCTCCTTCAATTTGCACTCATTACTCCTTGTCCTATCACTACAGCTCCTGACAAAGAGTCCCTTTCCAGCTTCTCTGTAGGCCCCCTTCAAATACCTGAAAGTTGCCATGAGGTCTCCACACAACCTTCTCTTCTCTGGGCTGAACAGCCCCAACTTTCTCAGCCTGTCTCCATAGTGGAGGTGTTCCAGTCCTCTTACCAGCATTGTGACCCTCCTCTAGGCTTGATCCAACAGTTCCATGTCCTCTTTATGTTGGGGACACCAGAACTGTGCGCAGTACTCCAGGTGGGGTCTTACAAGAGCAGAGTAAGCTTTATTTACTTCTTTCCTTCATTTAGGTATATGTCTCTTCATCATATTTTATATACCTTTTACACAACATTTTGTTTAGGATGGGTGTTTTAGAAACTTATTTAGAAACTTATTTAGAAACTCCCCTTCTATCACTGATGAAGTAAAAATAGACAGCAACAATTTTCTGAGTTGATTTTGAGGACTGATGGTCCAGGAACGGAGGGGGGACTTAATAACACAGCCTACAAATAAATTTTTATGCCCTCACAGACTCGTATAGACAGTTTGAATTAATTTTTATAAAATCAGACAAGCTTTGAATTTGTTTATTGTAAAGATGAATGCAAAGTATAATGTAACAGCTCTCAGAAGCTGTTCCAAGATTAATTAAATTCAAGTTTAAGATTCTCTCCTTCTTAGTAGTCCGAAGTAGACTGAACTCAGTGTTTTTTCTTACACTTTGTTCCCCAATAATGTGGCTTTTCCATTCCGATTGTAAACCATGGATTTTAAAATGAAATTTCCTGTGCATTTGTCTAGCATTGTAAGGGAAGCTCAGGAGTGTTGGGTAGAAGACCTGCAGCTACATTGAGATTCTCTTTGAGGACATGGTCAGGTTTGCAACTGCAGAAAAGGTGCAGGATCAACAAAAGCCTCTTCAGAGAAGATGCATCATTCAGTTGTGGGTGTGATGTGTGTACATTTAAGAAATAAATATCCAAGGAGAATCTGGTCTTTGGTTATTGTGTAACATCATGTAGTTGCATATGAAAATTCATTTTTCTAGCTAATGTGAGTTATTTAATGTAGGCTTTTTGAAGATAAACATTCTCCTACACATTTTCAAGGAACTGATTTTAACAGTTCTTCAGTTTATGAAGTTCAGTTTATGCACTGAAGCACAGAAACAGTGCTTCAAAGAAAACACTTTCCATGCAGAATTTGTATTTCAGCATACGTTCTAATTGTTTTCAATGGACAGCCAATCCTTCAGTAAGGAAGTGTGTGATAAGACCTATGCTAAGGGAAAAAAATGCTTGTAATACACAACAGTGGTTCCTATTTACTGAACTAGGAGGCCATACAAATCTAGATTGAAAGGTTCTATGTTTTCATTTAAAGGCACTTCTTACAGTCTGGTCCTATTATATATGCTATAATCTGAATGCATCTAGATACATGCTGTATGCTAGTCCAGAAATTAGATTTGAAGTGAAAGCATGCCTTTAATATTGTTGGAGATGATACAATGCCAAGGTTTCAGAAGGTTGCATATCTACTTATTAACTCTGTACAGTGTTGCAAGTATCACTGGATGAATCTCTTTTTTTTTTTTCCAGTGTACAGAACATCTATGGTTTCTTGATGGTGTGCTAATGCCTGTCAGAATATAGCAGAGATAATAGATGGAAATTGCTTAAGTGCATCTTTTCCCTTTAATGTACCAGGTTTAGTGTTGTTGTTTTTTTTTTTAGTGAGGAAAATGCTGGATTTATCATACCATGCATATAAAAGTTACTGGAAATTACATTTTAATGCATTGAGAAATTTAGAGATATTATAACAACTTTCATTGCAAAACAGAGAAGGAAAAAACTAAACTGCATGCATATCTAAACATTGGTAAACAAAGCTCTTGTAATTGAATGAAAAGGTTATAACATTCTTCAAATAACATTGTTGCCACATAAAACTTTTTTCTTAAATGTCAACTCAAAGCTAGTTCTTCTCACGATCCTGGCAGATCAGAAAACAAAAAATTATTATCAACATTTTTCCTGCATCATGTTTTGATGAAATCATACTTTTCAGGCAGATAAAACTTTTTAATATGAGGAATGATCACTTTTAGTTATCATAGTGAGCTCCTTCTCTGTGAGCCATAATTAAGTTTTTACGGTCTGTTCCATTCGCTGTGAAGTTGGTAGCCCAACAAATGGGACTCCATTCATTATAGTGCATATGTGAGTTCAATGTGGAGTAAGCACTAGCAGACGATAGGAAACCAAACTTGGACTGCGCTTGATTGCAAAAAAGAGACTTGGCGTTGGTTAGCTGATGACTTTGCCAACTTTATGTGTCATCTCAGTAAAATACATGTTTCAGTGTCAGCAGTGTATTTCAACATTTATTGAGGATTCTTTAATGTTCATTGCTGACTGAGAGGAGGCTGCTGGGGTTGTTTCTTGGGCTTGTTTCTCCATGCTCTGGTGGCAGAGTTTCTTACAGACTTCCCTTGTATGTAATTGGATCTGGAAATATGTGATATTTGGTGGCACTAGGCTCATCTTTCTCATGTTATTGAAAAGGAGTATGTCACTTTACTTTTTGTGAAGGCCAACTGCTGTCACAGTGGTTTCCCTAAGAAAAGGAAACTTTTGAATAGTACAGAAGGTCATACAGACAATAAGCTTTCTATAGTCCCAGGCAGTATATTGGCAAATAAACACTTTGTTGGGAAAACTGTTTTTATTCTGCTTTGGACTAGAGTGGACTTCCTATTTGTTTCTGTGCTTTTGGTGTGCTTTGAGCCATCTATGTCAAGCATCAGCAGGAATCCTCCTAAACAATACACAACTGTGTAACCATTATCACATATATGCCTTGTATATAAATTTATAGGTTTTGTGTTTGTTTTTCTTTTTAAGCAGAATATTTCAAGATTATCAAAATAAGTGATAAAGTGCTTACAATGATGTAGCTGTGCAAAGTTTTCTGCTTTAAATGCAAACAGATGGGAATTCATACTACTATAACTATCAACATTAAAAAGCTATGGATGTGTAGTTTGCAGAAGCTATTTTAAATGTTTATTGCACATATTTCAGAGCAGGTGAAAGAAAAGCTTCCATTTTAACTATCCAGGCTGATGTAGCTAATCATACTGGTTTGGCTGGAGTAGAGTTAATTTTCTTCATAGTAGCTGGTGTGAACTATGTTTTGGACTTGTTCTAAACCATAGTCCCATGCTAGCTACTATACTAGGAAGAAAATTAACTTTATTCCAGGCCAGACCAGTGCACTGGCTAAACTTTGGAGCAGGTAGCATAGAGTGGAACGTGGATGACGATTAATGGTAGGACTTGCATAAACTTTCTGGTTTGCTGGGGATACTGCCTTTTCCTGTGTAAAGTCTAGTAGAAAGCTGGAAGCTGGGGCTTCCCCCACCCGATGAGCAACATCTGCTTCTTTTGCATGTGTGCAAAAAAAAAGACTGTTAATATGCATATCTATGACATTAAGTTTACTGTACAATGTATATGTGTTGGTGCACACTGTTCCCACATTGGGAAAATGAGATGCAAAGAGGAAGCTGTTTGGCCCCACTGTAATGTACGAAAATCTGCTTCTGGTCACCTCCTTTGCTAGTGTGTCTCAGGTATGTAGAGCTGCCTTCTCGGCAAATAATTCCAAGAGAAGTGTGCTCTTGTTGGTCACTGTCCTTCCCAAGGACCTGTGGGGAAAGTACGTCATCCTGTAAAGGGCCACAGAAGAAGGTCCTGTAAGTTTATGTAGTTACATACTTACAAGTGAGGACAAGCTATGGACTGGATGATTTCACTGGCAAGTAACAAGTTGTCTGTCAAATATGGCTGGAGGGCTCCCACACTGCTCACTTGACCTGTGCCTAAGTGGTAAATCTGGCTGACTGAGGCTGTAACACACTTGTTAGGTGTGCAGATGCAGCTACTGCTTGTGTGTGTGCCAGTGTTAAGGGTTTCCTAGGCTGAGTTGCGATAACCCTGGTTAATGGTCATTTGTTTTTCAGTTATTTTGACAGCTGCTTCTTTTGATACTGCTGGATAACACTAAGGCTTCTGGCTTTTAAGGTGTTGCAGGGAACCATAGGTGGTGAAAAAAGGCATAACTAATAATTATGTTTTCATATTTAACCTTCACTTATCCTCATCTCAGCTGCTGCAAGCTACTTTGTCTCCATCTACAGCATCCGTGCTTTTCTCTCCGCAGGTAATTTGATGCGTGCTGTCAACTCAGTGTAGGAATTTTGTTTTGCCTTCCTGCTGTATCCGTGTCATTTCCCACGAAGTACATGTTCTACAGAAATCCCATTTTAAAAATTTGATTTCTGCTTTTGCAGAAATGATGTTCTTTGAAGTCTGCAGATAGTTTGTAGATCTTTAAATACCAATCAGCTGTTAACAGTGAGAAACTATTGTAGCTGCTGATGCATAGTTGGATTTCTTCAGGTACTCAGCAAGGCTCTAGATGCTTTTTTCACGCAGTGGTAGGTAGATGTGCACAGCTTTTAGGATTGCTCTCTGATAAATTTGGTGTGGGAACACATTTTCTGTCAAATATTTCAGCCTCTGCAGTCTTTGCATACTTATATTTAGACATTTTTAAGTGTCTACATTATCATTGCAAATCCCTCAAAACAAGGTCTGAGAAGGAAACAGAGCCTCACAAAGGTTCACATCAGCTTCACAAGGATAAATGCGAGCACTAGAACCAAGAAAATGAGCAGAAAATTGAGTAGCAGGTTGAGACCTCTGTTGTTGGCAAGATCCATAATGTGTATCAGTCTGCCCTCTTGTGCTTGCAGCAGACTATTAATTGTAGCTTTGGGTTGCTCCTTCAATGCTAAGCGAGGTAGATTTCACAAAAATTTCATTGTGTCCACAGCTGTTTATCTGGTTTTAGTTTCTGCCACTGAAGAAAAAAATGTTTGTTTACAGTAACTAGAGTTGTGTTGTTTTCTTTTTCCGGAAAAGGATCTAGATACTGCTATAGGCTTTTTTTCCCCAGTACCTTAAAAATAAAATAATTAAAAAAAAGTTAATGTTAGCCTTCATTTCACTACTGGGGAATTTCTAAAGAACTAATTGTTGGAGAAAGAACTTGAATTTTATTACAGTTTGGCTCTTTATTGGCTTTTTTTTAATATGTGTGGTACTTTTCAGGCCTATTTAATTTTCAAAAGAATGGTTGTTCTCAAGACTTACTCTGTTTCAGCAGTAGACTGTTGAAAATTTACGTCTAAAAGATCCCTGCAAGTGGGAAAAAAGGAAAGCTTTCTTGTCTGGGCAAAATGTATTTCTGTTAATAGGAGTATTTCCTTACCCTTCTAGAGTTTGGCGTTGTGCAGTGCAGCAGGTTACGTTTTGCCAGCAGTGTGCTGTGTAAGAGTCATTGCAGCTTTGCAAATGCCTTATTAAGAATGTAGATTGGGCTGACAGAGGATGTGTTCCTTAGTGCTTTTAATAGGACATATGCAATAGCTTATTTTAAGGGAGTATTAATAACTTAACAATTGTGTTTTATATATAGAAATATATATACATAAATGAAAGGAACGTATAAAACCACTATGCCCTAACAGTGAAAACAGTTGCCAAAACTTCATTTTAGTAATCAGCTACATTTTTATGGATCATCACAAGAGGGCAGTGTTTTATAATTTTATATTTTATACAAAGATGTAACTTCTGGCATTCTTTTACCTTAAAAAGATATAACAAGCTTATAAAGCAATCAGTCAGATATTACAGTAAATCTAGGACCTATTTTAAATAATTTAAATTACCAGGGTTCTTGCTCAGATGAGCATCAGTTTTTAAAGGAATCCTTATAAATATGTTCTGAGGTTTTTTTCCAGTTTTTATTTTGGAGGTCAAAGCTAAAAGGACTAAATTTGTTTTTAAATAAAAGATATTTATGGATCTTATAGGATTTCACAAATATTTTGCAATTGTATTCTGCCAGGCCCTATTTATTAGTAGCCATACAATTACAGGTATCTGGCCTGTAATCTATAGTATATTAATATGCTTCCAGATATAAACAAGAACACTCTCTAAACGAATGTGTTCAATTACTCTGCTCTAATTTTAGCAGAGAGAATGTAGGTAAAGTATGTTTCAGCAGAAGTGTGTGCATCAGACATGATTATTGTTCTGTACGTATCACAGAACGGATAAAGTCAGAAGGGACCACAGTGGATCATCTGGTCCAACCTCCCTGGCGAAACAGGGTCATCCTAGAGCATATGGCACAGGATTTCATCCAGATGGTTCTTGAATATGTCCAGTGAGGGAGACTCCACAACCTCTCTGGGCCATCTATTCCAGTGCACAGTAAAGAGGTTCTTCCTCGTATTCAGGTGGAACTTCCTGTGCATCAGTTTCTGCCCATTGCCTTTTGTCCTATTGCTTGGCACCACCATGAAGAGCCTGGATCCTTCCTCTTGACACCCTCCCTTCAGATACTTATGTACATTGATGAGGTCCCCTCTCAGGCATCTCTTCTTGAGACTGAACAGGCCCAACTCCCTCAGCCTTTCCTCGTAAGGGAAATGCTCCAGTCCCCTGATCATCTTTGTTGCCCTCTGCTGGACCTGCTCCATGAGGAGCCCAGAGCTGGACACAGCACTCCAGATGTGACCTCACTAGGGCTGAGTAGAGGGGCAGGATCACCTACCTCGACCTGCTGGCAGTGCTCTTCCTAATGCAGCCCAGGATACCCCTGGCCTAGTTGCACCACTGACCATTGGTGTAATTGTAGCAAGACTTACATAAAAATTCTTTATGCTGAGGGGTGGCAAACATTTTGGCCCTGTTGTGTGAAAAATGTTGTTTAAGTCTGTTTTACACTTGTCTTTCCACTGAGTGGTTCAGTTCTGCTAGGAAGGGCAGTTGTAGCTAAATCGATGCAGAACAATTAATAAAGAAACTCGACTATCTCCTGCCTTCCGAAGTGCCTTACTGACTAGTCTTGATCAGAGCAAAATTTCAGGTTTTAAATGAGTCATGTTTTCATGTAGAGGATAATGAGTAGTTATATCAATTTTTGCTGAGGAGCTGGCTGAGGAAACACATCTTTAAAACCAGCATACTTTTGTTCCTGATTCAGCTCCTTCCCAGTATAAAATTGCCATGAAAGTTTGTAATTTATTGTTTTGGAGGAGGAGTAATGCCAGCTGGTTGTCTGTTCAGCTATCTTTATTCATTATCAGTGTGTAAGATGAACTTAGGAAAAAGATTTAGGCTTGGGTGGAGTGGAGCAGAGAACTGAAAACTTAATCCAAGCTATGTGCTGTGTTCGCAATTTTTATTACAGCTCATAAAAGTAGGGAACTTTTTGATTACACTTTGATAAAATTCATTAGGATTACTTACGAGCAGTAGCTACTGAGTGTGAACTAGGTACATGTAAGTGATTTGGGCATCACAAAACAGTCAAGATTACTCTTAAAAACGAAAGCAGAATAAATAGAGATATAGAGAACTAAAAAGCTGTGCAATGACTAGCTCTTTTTCACATAAGTTTAATAAGTAAGTGATAAAACTCTAAGCAGAATTGGATCTATTTTATGCATTAATATATTTTCAAGCAGTCATTTTAATAATTAAAATACAGTAGATGTTATTTTTAAAGCTCATAAAAGTCTATGAAGAAGTTTGTACTATATACAAAAGGTTGGTTGTATTTTAATCTGTGGGTTCAGTTGACATTTGATGATATAGAGGATGGTAGCAGATTTTGTGATCATTAGAATCCTAAGACATAAGTGAACCAAACAGTACATGCAATTTATCTGCATTGATGTAAAATAACAATAGGGCTTCCAGTTCATTTATAATTTTGTTTTGTTCTTGCTTGTTTATTGCTTTTAAATAAATGATGGCTTTTAGGTACATAAGTGGAAGTTGGAGGCATTGTTTTTATTGGGGGGGTACTTTTTTAGCAATGCTTTACTTTGACTCCTATATATTACTGGCTTGTTAAACCTATAATCCAAATATGTCTTCAGGATGTATGTGCTGATGCTTTTCTTCAGGAAGTTTTCAGTACTGTAAAACTTGTCTATTTCCAATTGAAGTCTCTTGAAGCATATCCAAAGCAAACTAAAGCTAGAAACCCTATCCATCACAAAAATACAGATTTGAAAAGAGAAGAAAGGGAAGAAGGATTAAAAGGGAAAATACGCTTACTAAAATCTCATGTGTTTGTGAAAGTGGTGAGAATGCAGGAAATGGAAATTGAGATTTACGCTGATGGTTCAAATCAGTAATGCTCATATACTAACTTGCAAGTGGGGGTGTGTTGCCAGCCTCACCAGTGCTTACTCTAGTCCTCATACAGTTGCTATCTTAATTTCCTCTGGTGATTAACCCTATTTTGGAGGCCTGGTCTTAGCATATCTATTTGCCAGATAGGAACTGCATCACCACTGGTTTTGCTTGCATTCCATTAAATACCAAGCTTTTTCAAAGATTTCTTCCCTTCCTGCTCAGCTGTTCATTCTCAACCTCTACTTATGAAATATTAAGTCTTAAAGGCAGAATACAAGATGAAGATAAACTTGTTTTGATTTTCTGTATTCATCAGTAGGACTGCTTACATAGAGTGATACAGAAAGATTACTCTTCAAAAAATTGATGTCTGTCTGACCTCTTTGTTGATTCTTGAGCTTTCTTTGAATTTAAAAACTATCAAATTTCTAGGAACTTAGCTTAATACTGGAAACGTGGTAGGACTGGAAGTCTTCTGCTCAGTCTTGTTACTCACAACTGCTGGAGTAGATATGTCATCTTTTACATGTCTAGCCTCTGGTTTACATGTCGAAAAGATATTTCTGCAATGCTTTTTTCCCTTCTGTGCATAATCGCTTATAATTTATTTTTTTAATCTGTCATTTATTTTAGGAAAATACTTGCATGTTCTCTAGTGGGTATTTGCAGTTGAAGGTGGGGGTGTTACTTGTATTTGTATGATACACTTCAGTCATAGCAATAATGGTGACGTAGACTTCTCTCTTTACCACATCAGATATAAGCCACCTTCTGTGACACCGGCAAGTTCCAAGTTTTTTGTAGTTTTAAACTAAGGAAATTATTACATAAATTAGAGCAGGACATAATTAAGTTGTCTGAAGTCAAATATTAAGTACTCTGAGAATTATTTTGAGGTTATGCCACTTGTCAGTTGAATGACTATAGAAAACAAAATTTTTTATGTCAGTGTGGTAGTGTCAATTTTTTTTCTGCAAAACATAGTGAAAAACCTTTCTAGATGTCACATATACAAGATCCTTTAGATAGGGAGAAAAGCATATGAAATAGCTTTTATTTCTGGGTTAGAAGAGATTTTTTGTTTATTCCCATGTTCCCTTAAAAACCACTAAAGCAATTTAAATGCCTTCAGTTGATAATGCAGAGATGCAGCACCTTGAATTAAACAGAGCAGAAATTTTCTTCAGATGTGTTGATGGCTGTGTACCTGTAAGCTCTTCTTTGGGCAGATGTGGTCCAAATTTGGAACCCCTCTAAGGGCATAAGGATTTTCAGAGAAACCTAAAAACACTCAGGCCCCCCAAAAGTGAAGTTGCTGTTTATCTAACGAAAAGATTGAGGAACTTACCAGCTGATGGCTGTTACTGTTGGGGGCAGATAATCTGATTTACCAGTACTTTACCCCATTTAAAGATATCTCTTGATTGAGACCGACAAACTGGGTCATGCACAGCTTTGTAACTACAGGCTCTAAACACTGTTCTGCACAGAAGACGTGTTTTTAATATGTGTAGCAGGTAGTAAGATAACAGGGCATTGGTTGGCACACACTCTAGTCTGAGTGCTGACCCCTGTCACATGAGGATCCTTGTGCTGGGAGTTGCGGGTGTATGTCTCTCTTCCCCCTGGGATGATTTTTCTAGAGGACAGTGCAGAGGAGGGCTGGAACTTCAGAGAAGCATCACAATGATACAGATCAGCAAGAGGCAAATTAAAATCAGGCAGAAATTGACAAAGAGCTCTTGGAGCCTTTGGCGTGCTTGTGGGTTGACCTCAATAGTTGAGGCTCTCCTTAGAGCAGAGCGGGTTATGTGTTGGACCTTCTCCATGGCAACAAGAAAGCAGAGAGCACAAATCAGAGGTTTTAGGAGTGCAGGAAAGAAGAGCAGTTGTCAGGAACAGTGCAAAGTGCCTAATATCTTCTCTTTTTGTTTTAGACAGCCTTTGTGGAGCTGGAAAAGCAGGAAAGCGAAGAATTAGAAATACAGAAGTGTTTTGAAGAGTGCAAATTGAAATTTTTTAAAAGTTCAAAAAGTCTGAAATAAATAGATTGCTTTTACAGTGTTTTTAGCTTAAAACAGGATTTTGAAAATTTGTTTTTCAAGTTTAGATTTGTGCTGTACTGTACTTCTCCTCCTGAAGGCTACTAAGAATGTACTTCTTAGCAGTGGTGAGGAACTGTAATATGGAAATTGTGAGTATGTGGATTTTGCCCAGATTATTGCTTTTAGATCCTAAACTCTCATCTTTCACAGTCTGAAAAGGCTGTGGCTCATTGCCCTCCCCCCCACATCTCTCTGCTTTATTTGTTCAAGCACATGTGAAAGCATGATGATAAGACTAGGGTCACAGACCTTGCAGCCAGGAGATCTGGATAGTAGTGCTGACTGTTACTGACAGGGGCAGATAATCTGATTTAGCAGAACCTTTTTCCTTTTTCTGGAAAGGAGGAGAAAAAAAAATCCTGTTTAAGTGTTTCTATTCCAACTACAAGTTCTTTATGGGGGGCAATTAAAAGCTAATGAATCACTGCTGTAGGGAATTTTAGTAGTATATTTCTCAACAGACAGGACAGAATAAAGACTAAATCTTTTTTTATGCATGTAGGACAGTGTGTTACAAAATGTGGCTGCAAAGGTGGAGAAATGCTATGAGGAAAAAAATAAAGCATGTATACAACTTCATCTCTTAAATGAGTGTTATATTTAAAGTATATTTCCCCTCCCCTTTTAATTATGGATGGAAGCACAGGGTGTCAATTGTCTTAAAACTCCAAATAAGTAGTTGCAGTGTAAATCCCTCCTGCATAAACCTTCTGTGGCAAGACGCTGGCTTTGATATGTGCTTGCTTAGGTCAGGGTGAGGTGGATTCTGCAGGTGCTGTCACAATATGAAAACTTTGTTTTCAAGATAATGATGATATATGCATCTGTCAGACTTTGTTCCCAAAGCTGCACTTACCCCTAAACATTTTATGAATTGATATTGTGATCAAATCTTTCACAGAAGGCCTCTCCTTGTCACCCTTTTTTTTTTCTTGGCAGTAGGTGAAATTTGTATCATGTATGCCACATAAAGGAAAACCATTGCTTAGATGTCTGTTTCCCAAATTACATGATGGTCCTGACTGAATCAGAGATTCTTTGTCGCCCATGAATTTGTCTCTATATATGGCTAAATGGAAAAAGCTTAAAAGGAGACAGAACTGTCTTGCAGGCTTTTCTTTCTTAGTCCCTGTTGGGCTGTAGAGTCAAAGGGTTCTGTATGAGCAGAATACATGTGCTTTCAGTGCCAGTGGCAGTGTTGGTATTTAAAAGAGACTTGTAAAAGAAATCAAATTGCACATGGTTATTTTAATACCTCTAGAGGATTCCATGTGATGACATCATCTTCTAAAACTCAACTTCAGATTTTGTTATGATGTTTTAAGCTATAGTTGATCTTTATTGCAAACAAAAAAAACACCAGGAACTTGCTCTCGTGGTGACTATAATTTTTCATCTTTGTTTGACTTTTTGCTGTACCTGTTTTCATCTATTTAAGCAGTTAAAGTGCTTGCCAAGTATGTTCTGCTTAGCTCTATGCAAGTCACAGTCAGTCACTAGTGCAGTAAAAGCAAGACATGCACAGGAATTATCAAGTCTCTTGACTGAATGTGCATTCATTTTCCCATCCCAGTACAGACTGGAGTGCATTAAGCTGTTTATCTTCCTCCAGACAAGTCACAGTAGATGAACCACTAATGGATTAACACTGGTAGAGAAGAGTTTGTGTGATGAGCTTGTGTGACAGACACTGTACAGGGAACAGTATTTCCTGCGGATGACTTCATCACAGCTTCTTGTGTCATTTTTTTAATGCAGTGTGTGTGCAACCTTTGGTCTTTGGGCTCTGTGTGCTGCTACAGCAACATTTCTTTTTCCTGACTACTGTTTTTTTGGGACCCACATGAGGATTGGAGCAGCATCGATGTTTACCTGTGTAAATGCACAATAAGTCCATTTCATGAGTCCAGCATTAGATTGAACTGTGCACATGCTGGCACCTGCACTACTGTGCTGCTGCAAATGTTTCACTTGCATGACTCAAGGGGCGAGGACTTGGGGCTTTGAATGCTTCCATAAAAAGCATTATTAGCTGGTTGGGCATCACAGATGCAAGGCCAAAATAGGGCAAGAGAGGGCGAGATTGCTCTGGGAGGGGAAAGAAAATATTCTTTCTTTTGGAGTGAGTGGGGAATGTTGCTGAGGGAACTGGCAATAGGTCAGAAGGCTCAGTCGAGCTGAGTTGGCACTAGATATTTGGCCATATGTGACTAGACAGGTGACAGAAAAGGATCTTAAAAAATGGAAGGTAGCGTAAGTTAAAATGTATACCTTTAACAGCAAGAAAATGTTGTAGAGAAGGAATGAGGAAAGGACAAAATAGAGTAACTTGGGCTTCTTGATTTAAAAGCTTACAAGGTTTTGGAAGTTTTTACAACATCTACGTGCTGTTTAACCTACTAAGCCTGCCTGTGGGAGAAGTTTTCTTGTAAGCAAAGGAAGCCAATTCTGGGCCTGTATTTCAACAAGTTTGTGTTTACAAGTGCTTGACTTCAGCTAATAAACACATACCTTGCTTGTTAATCCTCCATGGCGCTGTCACCCACCTAAAGTGTGCATAAAGAGAAACAGATTCAGTAATACAGCTGCCTATGCCTGTGGGTGACTATCAAGGTCAAAATGGACAGCCTGGAACACAATTACATAGAAATGAAGGCTGATTGTTGCCACAAATAGTAGCTGCTCTCTGCTGTTCAATCCCCTTATTTTAGGCCAATAGAAAGGAGAATTATGCATGCACACACCACTTGTTGAAACAGAAGCGCAGCAAAAGGGCATACTATAGTTTATATGTTTTTTTAAGTCTAAAAGTGTTACTCTTGTAGCATTGTACAGGAGGAACTGTTGACTGCATTACTGTGCAGTTGTATGTTTTATCAGTGCTGTTAATGGATAATAAAGGCTTGTCTTAAGCACAGTGCAAATCTGCAGGGTCAGTCTTGTGGCTGATCCTGTGTGTTACTATGTAGTGAATCCCCTATACCCAGTGCCCTAGAATGAATCACCAATCACAATTACTGTTTCCTTCTTCAACGACATGTGACTGTTTCCCTGATTTGTATTAGGTTATTTTTATCTTTGTTCCTGGGTGTCCTTCACAATAAGAGAGGGTTATGTGACCAAAGTGAAAACTGTGGGCCACTCTCATTCCTGGTGCAACTGCATTGACTCCTTTGAAGTCACACGGATTAAATTTGGCTCCTTTAGAAATGCCACAGCAATTTTGGACGCAGCCTGTTTCCTGTCATATGTTTACTAAATGCAGCAGTGATATCAGTGGAATAGAAGACATTTGACTTTTTTGAATTCTTGCAGTTCCACGTGAATAAGTGAAGCCCTGAAGGTGTATTGTTAAAAAGTAATGTTGCATAAGTCTATTGCATAGATTTTAACAGTGAAATGTCCCAAAACCCCAGTAGTTCACTGCCGTCCATTGAAAAGAAATGTCTTAATAACCATCAACAGTGATGCAAAAAGTACTATCAAGGTATGTTAATTGAAGATCTAGACACTGACTTGTGGCATATAATGTCATTTTTCAATGACATGGAGAAAACATTTCCTTATGATGGGAAAAGAAGCAATAATTCACCTCATAGTTTCAGAAGTGCTGGTAACAGGAAAAGGAAACTCATTTTATCCTTCTTTCTACCTTTTGTTTTAAAGTCTGTTTTGTGCTGAAGTGTCAGTATTTTTCACGTGTTTGGGAGAGGGTAGGGGAAGGCTCACACTTGAGTGTCTTTTTTTTGTTCCCCCTCTTATTAATGTATTGCTCTTACAAGCTTCCTTCTGACTAGCTTTAATGTTCTCAGTGTTCTAAGAACCAAGACCAACAGTAAGAGCCTTTACCTGTGTTTCAGACGCATCAGAATGTGAAAGATGTAGATGCAAAGCAATTAGACTGATGAATAGTTGAACACACCAGGCATTTTAATTTTTGGAAGTTATTCACATGCCTTGGGGATAACTGGAACTTGTGTATGTGCTGGTCCATTAGAGTAGCCTGGGAGCCAAAGCTTTGGGTTAGTTTTTAGGGAGGGTAAATTCCCTGCAACTGCTGCAAGACCATACAGTAGAATCTTGAGCAGGTGCTTCATTCTCCATTCTCATCATCTTCCCTCATCAAAATAAGACATAAAATAACATTTTACCATTTCCAGATTTTTGGTATGATTTGCCTTTTGCGTAGTAGCTTTCTTTTAGAAATAAACTCCTTCCTCCACTGTGTGCACTGTGTACCTAACAAGTTATTTTATGTTGAGTTTTAGGTTCTGGTGGTTCGTAGGTTGTATAGGAATTGGGCTAAGTGCAATTTGAATTCAAAAATTGAAATACATCTAGCATGTATAAAAAGTAGAAGCATAAGAGAACATTCCAGGTTTTGTTGTTAACCTTCTAGGGGCTCAGGGAACAATGACATGGCATTGATTGAGAAGGATATAGTAGGTAAATTCAACTTCTGAGAAGTAACTTGGTGTCAGGAAAGTCCTCTTAACCCATTTATCAATATCCAGAAAGCATAAGCGGTCTTCCAGTTCTCAAATGTCTTGTAGTTTAGGGAACATAACGTTACTTCCCCGTGGGATTTTTTTGTTTCTCCAGTTGGGGTACTTTTCTATTCCTAAATCAAATTATTATTAAAGCAAATAAAAAGCTGCTCTTGTAGCTGTCTAGACATATCCCATACATTTTTGTTTGCTGATGATCTGAAAAAAAATCAGTGAAAATCACCTTTATGCTCTCAATTACAAACTGATTTTAGTGAGTTTCACACTGTACGTTGAAGACACTATATTGCTAACCTCCTCAGGTGATGAGAAATAAATGCAACTTTAAAAATAGAAATGTGGTGTATACGTAAATCTGAATCTGTCTTAAGTACAAATAATAACATAGCTGCCTTGACAAATGAGTAGCAAAAAAAAATTGTTTGCTGTAAATTAAATGCCTTAATTTACATCTGATTTGTGACACTTATCACCTGCTATGTAGCACATGCTTCTGTCATGACTGTAGATTGTTGTTAATCAGGGTTTGGATGTCTGTGACATAGGATGTTATCAGTGTGAAATTTTTAAATTTAACTTAACAGCTGAGCCACTCTTTCATCTGTGTTAAATTACTGAACTCTGTGACAGGATAAAATTCAGATGATCAGCCAGCTAACCTGGTGTAGCTACGGGATGCATTCCAGATTCCGTTAAAGAGCTGCCTATGGCAGTTAAGTTTCTATATGTGTGTTCAATCTGTGTGTGTACGCATGAAGTCTGTATTTTTAAAGGTATGTGTATGCAGTATTTGGGGTAGGAGAGAAAGATTCTCTGTGCGGTAGAATAAACCTTAGCTCCTCTTTTCACTTGAAAACACATTTTATGTAACTTCAGCCTTGAAAGATATCTGTTTCAGATATCAGAATCAGAAAGATTCTGTCTCAGAATCTTCTTGCTCCTTGGTAGGCATTGGTTTGAAGACACTGGGAGGTCTGAAATGCTGCTTCTCCCTACTGGAAAGAAGCTTCTAGGGAACTCTGTAACAGAGTTTGCCTTGGGAGTAACAGGATATCTGGACACATCCATCACTTGTCTATTCAAAACTGGCGTGAGGCTGCCGAGCACAAAACCAAGAACCTGAATGTATCTTTGCCTGATGTCTGCCAGTCACTAATAGGAAAAGGAATTGTGTGTCTGTTCAATAACAGAGAAAACATACCTCACAAAATTAAGGTCTATACTATGTTTGTCTTTTCTAAAATCACAACCATAAGTAGTAAGGTGTGAATTGATGAAAGGAGGAAACATGATTGTAAGGAGCATAAATACCTTAGAGGCCTACATATTCATCAATCATATTTCTTTTTAAAATATTTTTATATTTAAATATTAAATGTTCTTTATGTGACATGTTTCTGTGTGAGATGCACTTTTTTTTTCCAGTGGTTTTAAAGCTAGAGTTGTATTTCATTGTACAGTGTGTATGTGCTTCCCTTAGAAATAAATGGATTGCCTTCTTCGTTTGAAATTCAATTCATGATGTTACAAATACTAGCAAATTATTTATCTCTTATTAGAAACAATCTAGGACAAGTTTGGCAGTTACAATGAACAGCAGGAGAAAATTAACTTTTAATGGAATTCAAAGCTCTATGGATTCTGGAGCTTGAAATGCACTTATAGTAACATATATTCAGTTCTAGTACAGCTATAAACCACTTAAATTTTTAAATTACAGGTAATTTTTCATCATACAGCAAAAAAAAAAAAAGGTTTGCTCTCAGTGGGTTAGCTCAGAAAAATGCTTTTCTGAATTAAATGGTGTAAGGGCTTCTTACCTTTGTGGGCTGTGAATAAGCAGCTTTGGGAAACAAGTGTCTCTACAAAACTTTAAGTGAATTACTCTCTTTGTGGATTTTGGATTAAAAACCAAACAAACAACAGAAAAAAACCAAGCAAAAGGTATTAAATTTAAAAGGAAAGACAAAGGTCTGAAGAACGTGATGAAACCTTCTCACCTTCTGGTGCAATGCCACCTGTATAAATCATCTACCCAGGGACAGCAAGTGTCCCACAAGCACGTAGAAAATTCTGTTGCCTCTGTTGTTGCTGAAATATTCCCCTCACAACATTATATTTTTGACTCAGAGCTGTAATACCTACATTTCCATATTTTTGATAATCAGCTGTTAATTTAAGTAGAGGAGTTTTTGTAGAAAACTACTACTACAGCGCGCCTTGCTGCAAGAATTAAAAGCATTATACAGAAGAGAGAGGTTCCTTACCTCTGGTCTTACTTTTAGTGAAGCACAGAGGAGCTTGCTCCTGGCTGTGGGATGTGCCTGTAGAGCTCTGGCAACTTGTCCTAGTCTGTAACTAAGTTGTGGAAACAATTGAAGTAAGTCGAGGGGGAAAAAATAACAAAAGTTTCAGAGGCAGGACTCACAGTGTCATTCAGCAGCTCAAAAGTTGATTGGTCCCATTTGCCTTCTGACACAAGCAGTGGCTCCTCTAAACTTGTTCACAGCAGTAATATATTAAACATGGGCAACATCTCTCCTTTTGTGAAGGGAACTGTGTGCCAGGGAGACCACCTACTCAACCACAGGATAAGGGAATCTAGGAAGCGGTATGCTTCAGTGGGGTAGCAGAGGGAGCTGCTTGCTGACACCCTGCCTTTTCTTAAACAAAAATTTAAATAGGAATTTGTTCAGGGAGGTGTTTTGAATGTGTTACTTTTGCTACAGTGATGTTTCTTCATCATAAAAAAGCATAAATAGTGTGGGCTATCACATTTCATGTGGGTATTTGACTTGGAGTGATTTTCTTTTCTACAAGGTATTTTTTAAACTACATTTTCGTTACATATAATTTTGGTAGTTTTGTAACACAGCTGGTATTCAGTTTACAGTGTATGATGTGTTTTTTCCAATATCATCTTTCTTCTCACAGTGCTTGAACTGAAGTAATTTTCCTGTATTTCAAGTCTCTTCCAACCTTTAATTTGTGGCTTATAAAATCTGGCATATAGAAGTTCATCTCCAAAATTTACCATTACTATATAATTTGAGTATTTATCTTTCCTTTAAAACACATCCCCACACTTTTTCTTCCCCTCCCACTTTTTGTGACTGGAAACTATTCAAGTGATTTTTTTGAGAACACTTTCAGTTTGTTTGGATAGGAGTAGCACCTTGATGCTACTTTACAGGTTATCTTATGTATATTATCCTGTGTTGAGAAATGACAAACACAGTCATATACAGAGTAGGTTTTGTGCATCCAGGAAGTGAAGGATTAAACTGTTTAATGTGCGAGCATCCAGCATCAGGCTTTGTGTGTGGATGCAACTGACAGCGTGTGCCTTTTCCTGATTTGGAAATCGCAGGCAAAAATGCAGAAGCTCAGTCAAACTCTGAACACTTACAGATTCAATTTTGACAATAATTGCTTAGCGCAGACGAATGCTTGGCTTTAAGCAGGAAACCAGACATGGTGGGTTTTTTTGTTTAGTTGTTTTCTTTCATTCCCTGGGAGCCCTGCTGTGATACATCATTCAAACCAGAGACAGAATCGCCTTGGAGGTGATGTACCACCCTGATTCAAACTTAGCTCTGTTTTTATTTTTTGTAAATACGGTTTAGGTAGTCTGCAAAATTGGTTATAAAATAGTTGAAGTTAGCAACTCGGCTTTAATATAATAAATCTGCCTGCTTTCTGCTGCCCTTAATTATCAAATGCAGGAAATCTAGGGTCACATATTTCAGTTGAAAGTTAATGGAATATCTCCACAGCGAGGAGTGATAGTTCTTTACCGGTGCAAAGAGTTTCATAATTTACTTATAGTGACATTATTAACATTGTAAATTTCTCACATAAAAAGGCTGTATTTGCCCTTTTTATGAGGGAGGTTTCATGTTTTCATTGTGTGCTGTCATCCAAGAAAAGTGCTATCAGTGGATTGTTTGCTTTTTGTACTTGTACTATTGAAAGTTGTACTACTGAAATTCACCTCTGTACTTTAAGTCCAGCACCCAGCACTGCAGCAGCTGCAATGCCAATTCCTCCCTTTTACCAACTCACTGCAAAATTGTTATATTATTTAGTTACTCTAGCCCAAATTCTTGGCTCTTTTGGTTAATGAGTTGGAGCTTTTCAGAAATGAGATACCTTAAAAGAATATTGGTTTTGTTTGTGAACTGCTGATACAATCATAGCTTGGTCTCATTTTTAAAGACTGATAGTTAAATGTGCAAATTAAGGCACTAATAAAAACACTAGTATCTCATCAGAAATGTAACACATGTCTTCTGTATGTGTCTGACTGGTAAGAAATTTTAAAATAGAAAATGTATTTTTTTAAACAACCATAATATGCACGGGTTCAGCCCACATGAATGTTGTAGATCTTGTATTGATGTTGTTTCTCTGAAAACAAGTGTGTTTGGGTACCCTCTCTTGAGAACATTTTTCTAGTTCAGCTTAGTATCATTCCCTTGTGTAACTCACGGGGATTTTTGTGGGGTTCTGAGGCAGATGCCAAAGTACTGCTTATGGGACATGTCAGTCTGACAGGTACAGACACGATAAATGAGCACATCATTGTACTGTTTTCATTGACTCCTGGCTGAACGGGTCCAGACACCCATGGATATCAGAAAGGAAAAGCTTTAGAAAAGGAATCTGTGTTGGAGGTTCTGGTCTGCTGTATTTTGTTCTGAGGAACAAGAATGTACAGCTGTTGCTTGCTTGACCTTAAATGGAGATGATCTGGGTTTTCTCCAGGGGAATTAGAAATCTACCACTAGAACATGTTTCTTCTCATAAATTTGTTTAGATTGGGATAATGTCCAAAAAGAGGTGTGTTGTACTTCAGCATACCAGCTCTTTTATTTAAATAGTCTTTTATTCACATAATAATATTTTCCTGGATTATTTTATTTGCATAATAATAATTTCATGGATCGTTTTTGTCTTTCTTGTGCTAGTTTTTAAAATTGCAGCTGTAGACAGTGGCCACCTGTATAATCTGTGTAAAGAGTTTGAGGTGCCACTGTCTGGTGTGCTGATACTCATGACTGCATGGAAGTGAACTGTTACCACAGTACAATTATTTATAACACACAAGAAAAGTAAGTCTGAGTACTCAGGTTAGTGTGTTGTTTTATGGTGCTGCTGCTGTTTTGTCTCATACTGCAAGTGTAGCTCTGCAATATCACAAGGCAAAGATTCTTGTGTTGCACATGTTTGGTTCAACAGCAACAGAAAACACAGAGAAGGGATAAATGGATGCTCCCTTGGATGTGCGTTAGTTTGTGTGTAGATGGGACAGATTTTGGTATTGACGCTGAACACTGAAATGAGATCTTTCCTTTTGGAACCAGCAGTTTTCTGGCCTGATTCTGAGATGCTTCCTATAGCACATGTAATTGCTTGTGGTCATCCAGGTATTAGCAAATGTGGCTTACAGGACCTCTTTTGCTGATCTCTGCTAAGAGAAAGGACCCAGCAAATGTATTTTTCAGTTACATTTGTGGTGTGGGTCTGATGCCACCTAAAGGGAGGTGTGAGTTTTTTCTTCCTTCAACAGGAAAAGCAGCGTTTTCAGTGCTGATGTCAAGAGCATTACAGAATTACACCAGATAAGGCAACAGCCTAATCAATTCAGAGATAATAACTTCCTTTTTTTTTTCTTTTTAATGCCTTTGAGTTTTTTTGCTTGAATTTGATAGATTTTATGACCCATATGTTTATGTTTTACCTTATGCCTCCTTTAAAGCTTATCTGACTTCAGTGAATCTCACTCATACCTGGAATCTCAATATTTTTTGGATTTCTTTTTTATTTATGTGGAGGAAGTTGCCTTTCTGAGTCTGCACGCTTTCTTTCTTGCGTAGTGGGACTTAGAGTCTTTGTTAGTGTTACAGGAAACAGCTCTGCTGAGAAATCTGGACTTTGCATCGTGTTATTTTCCTCAGAGACACCAAGTATTTACTTCTCCTAAGCCTTTGACAGACATTAAATTAGTTTGATCTTCACATTTTGTTCTTCATTACAAACAAGATAAAATTACTTTTTGAGGCTGCAACTTGGAAGCCTGAAATCACTTGCAAAGTGATTAAAAAAACTGTACCAAATAAATTAATAGAAAACTATACAACGTGGTCTGACAGATTTCTCATTTTGGGAATGGTGAAGGCTCTGGTAGGACTAATCATCTGATTTGTTACGAACCGAAGACATTTTTGGAAAGGTCATCTCGACTGTTTTCAGTTACTGTTACTGCCATGAACCTTTAACCATTAAAGTAGATCCTAGGGTGCAGAAGTATGTCTCACCCGTCTGTTGTCTTTGGTGCTTCGACCCAATGTTAGGAGAGAAGGGGAACAAGACATTTTGCCTGGCTCTTGCTCTGAAAATCCATGTCCTTCCTCTTCCCATACCCCTATAGGAAACACTTATTTCATTTGGAGGCAACACAGTTGGCACAGGCTTGACCCATGTAGGTAGTTTATTTTGCCGTAATATTGACAGCATAAAAAGCTGTGCTCTGGTGGCGTTCACATCAGTGAAGTGTACCTTTTTACTAGGTTACTGAAGGTCAAATAATTTAATAGTAGCAGTTAACTGCAGTGATGCAAAATGTCTTCAAAACAGCAACGTGAGAGAGGACAGGAAATTCAGTGATATTCATTACAGTGGAATATTTTTTATTTCTGTGAAATGCCTGGGAAAACTGTATTTTGGTGTTTACTGGTGTCCTTGATTGGTTAAGCTGAACAACGTGCTTTAGGTGGTGTGCTGAGATCCTTATACCTAAGAAAGTGTGTCGAGTGTCTTTCAGATACGCTGTTCTAGGAAGCACAGAGATTAGTTGTGTTATTTGACATGTTGTGAGTGATGGATGAACAGCGGGACAAAGGCATATGAAGGAGAGATAAAGTTGGAAGACCATGTTTCAGTTGCCAAGTGGTGGTGCTGGATTATTTCTACTTTAAAGAGTAACTGCAGAATGGAGGAGAAATGATTGGGCTGCAGCTTTTGCTGCTACCTATCTTCAGCTGAAAGTTGTCCTAGCAGAAATGCATAAATATTAATAGAATCACAGAATATGCAGAGTTGGAAGGGACACACAAGGATCATCGAGTCCAAGTCCTGGCCCTGCACAGAACCATCCTAAGAGTCACACCATGTGCCTGAGAGTGTTGTCCAAACACTTCTTGAATATTGCCCAAATGATGAACATATTGGCAGCATTTAAGAACTGAAGGTTCTCTTGTGCAGAGTATTTTAGGGATCACCCTCAGGAAGGGCAGCATGTAGCCAGTGGCCTCAACATCTTTCTTCACTGGGATCTTCATTCAGATCAACATGGAGATGGTGTAAATCAGCCTTTTAGAGAGTTTTCAGGCTAATTTTCAGTTGGTCCTACTTTGAGAAGTGGGAAATGGGAACCAGAAACACCTTTTGTTTCTCTTGGTTGGTGTTAAAGAATGGTGTGTGTCTTTTCTTCAT